ACTTGTTAATAAATGTTTCAAAGTCACCTGTTTGTGCTTTGTATATTACTAAAAAACATAATTTAGAGAAATTTATATAAAGTTGTACAGCACAGCATTCAATGTCCTGCTCCTTGCAAAATTGTACTAGCTCTATCTGGCTAAAGTTTAGATTATTTTTAACAAATATACTCACTTCTCCTCTAGCTACATTTTTCCTGCAAAAACTACTCGCTAGTGTGTAATTGTCTAAATTTACCTGTAAGATATCTGGTGCTTTCAAATGATTTTCAGTTAGACAAAGAATGTGTGGTAATTTGGCACTTTTAAGAGAAATTATCAATTCTTCAGTTTTTGGGAAAAGTCCTCTGATGTTCTGATGGAAAACCAGGAGATTTTCTTTCTGGGTGGTTTCTAAGTTTTTGGTTGAAAGGCCTCTAATGCTCTGATGATATAACAATTCCATCTGCCCTCTTTAACCAGAGAAAGAAACCCATTTGACACTGTTCGTCATTCATAAAGTGGTCAGGCAGTCTGAACAGTCTTATTTAATGACATTTGTCCTGCCACTTTGGAATCTTTGCACCCACTGGAACACCTTCATTTGTGCAGTACAGTTTACTCTGTATTGTGCTAACATTCTTCTGTGAATCTCATTGAGTCTTACCCCCTATGACCACAAAAACTGAATGAAAGCACAATGCTGCAATCCAAAAACAGATAGACTGATTTTACAAGCTTCACTGAACACAAAACTTACCCCACAACATGACTAGACTTGGTTCAGTATGTTGTACACAGCGCGTCCCAAAATTCCTTGTGATCAACGAAAACACATTTGTACTGTAACTAATAAATGCGAACACACCAATTTACTCTACACTTTTTCATCTGATATTAATGAGAAACATATTTTTTACAGCAAAGAGATAATCTGACGTAAACACCTTTAGCCAATAATAATAATAATAATAATTTATTTACATTCCATGGATCCATAAGATAGTCAGATGACGATAGGATGTGGAAAAAGTCATAATAATAATATACATATTATAAAGTACAATTCGTACTATTATATAAATTTCACATAATACAAAACAAAGTATTCACCTAGAGAAATGATAAGCTACAAATAGATCTACCCATTACACACAAGAAAAATTTATCACTTATTTGTAAACAACATAAATTCATTGACAGAGTAAAAGGAGTGTGTAATTAAGTATCTTATTATAAAGTACAATTCGTACTATTATATAAATTTCACATAATACAAAACAAAGTATTCACCTAGAGAAATGATAAGCTACAAATAGATCTACCCATTACACACACAAGAAAAATTTATTACTTATTTGTAAACAACATAAATTCACTGACAGAGTAAAAGGAGTGCGTAATTAAGTATCTTTTTAATGCTAGTTTAAATTGTGCCTTTTTATTTACAAGACTTGTGAGATTTGATGGTAGACTGTTGAAAATTTTGATTCCTGCATAATATGCACTCTTCTGAAAGCACGAGAGGTTGGCAATTGGTCTATGAAGCTGATTTTTATTCCTTGTGTTGGCACTGTGTACAGCAGAATTAGTTTGAAAGAGTTCTTGGTCACAGTAGGGCACCGCATATACGGCAGGTTAGGGACCAGACCCCGCCGAAAAGCGGACCTTTGCCCTTTTTCAATTGCAAATGCATATCAAAGTCTAGTTGATCATGTGCTGTTTTGACAGAAACTGTAACATTTTCTTTTTTTATAATTTAAGAAACAGCAAAAGATTCCATTTTTTGTACGTCGAGGTAATGAGAAAGGTTACAAGTTGAAGGATGACGTAAAATTTCATTTATAATACATCAATGCTGCACCCTGTGGAGATGCTAGGTTTGTATTGAAGCTAAGATGACATTTTGTTGAACCTGTTTACCTCACGAGTATTACGCTTGGAAGTTTATTCCATCCCGGCCACATGTAGAGACAAGTGAATTCTTATAAAATTAATCAAATTTCTAAAACACCATTTTCAGATGAAAAGCTGTGATCTTGCCACTAGATAAGGGCGAGTACAGTTTCTAACTCCATGGAGCAAAGTCTGCCTTGAGAAACTGGTTAAGAAATTCCTACCTTTCATGGAAGATGAAAGTTTATTATTGTTTTAACCAGAACTGTAACAGTTAATTTCTGGGAAGGATGAATTGCAAAAGTTTGCTAGCAACTCTTTTCTGATTGGCTTAGAATTAGGCAAACAGCACACAACAGAAGAGCGTTGTTTCTCTTCTTCTGTGATCATGTTTTGTGCGTCACTCAGTTTTCAACAATTTCCTGTCCTTTGTGGTCTTCTGGATTCTGAGACTGAATAATCTTGCCTTGAAGTGCATTTCAGGGCTGAAGATGGAAGTGGTGCATTCCTCGAACATTCCTGTAACAGTATCGTACCTTATACCAGTCTTTACTTCAAAAGCGTTCTTTCAAGTGTTCAGCTTACAGTTTAGTTGTGACATTTTTTGGCTAATTCTAGTTAAAAGGAAGTGAATTTTTTGTATCAGTGTTTGCTTTAATGTAGGAAGCTTTATCACGGAATATTTTTCAGATGCCTATTATTGAACCTGTTCGTGTTCAGGAACAGGAACTGTCTGGACTGCACATCACGGACTTGCCGCCAGAGGCGCTGGCTCGCATTTTCGAACTTTGCCCTTACGATTTCTTGGCTAGACGATTCTGCGACGTCGCCACTTTAGTTCTCAATCAGGGGTTCTCCCAAGAGCCAGCGCCTCTGGCGGCAAGTCCGTGATGTGCAGTCCAGACAGTTCCTGTTCCTGTCGACTGCAGGCTCCAACTTGATCCTGCCTTCCGTTGCGACGTTCAAGTTTTGACTTGGTACAGCGAATAAACTTGTTCATCCCGACGAAGATTTTATGACCAAAATATTCCTGGAGGTTAAATTATTTTATCTGAGTAAAATATTCACGGTCTACGATTGAAAGCTCGTTCACGTTTCTCGCCACACAAGACGTCAACAGGCCGTTACTAAGAGACAGTCGACGCAGTACAACAATGCTCTGACGTCACGTCTCCCTTACGATTTCTTGGCTAGACGATTCTGCGACGTCGCCACTTTAGTTCTCAATCAGGGGTTCTCCCAAGAGCCAGCGCCTCTGGCGGCAAGTCCGTGATGTGCAGTCCAGACAGTTCCTGTTCCTGTCGACTGCAGGCTCCAACTTGATCCTGCCTTCCGTTGCGACGTTCAAGTTTTGACTTGGTACAGCGAATAAACTTGTTCATCCCGACGAAGATTTTATGACCAAAATATTCCTGGAGGTTAAATTATTTTATCTGAGTAAAATATTCACGGTCTACGATTGAAAGCTCGTTCACGTTTCTCGCCACACAAGACGTCAACAGGCCGTTACTAAGAGACAGTCGACGCAGTACAACAATGCTCTGACGTCACGTCTCGCAGTTTACACTTCCAACAATCAGTTTGCTCACCAAGGTATGCACTGTCGTAGCGGAATAACGATCCTGTACCAACTGCATCAGCTACTTAACATCGTATAATAAGAGAACGTTAATCTCGTTCGGTGAAATTGAAAGGCTTCGACTTAAATCGTTCCTTCGTTGGCTTTTTCAAGGCGGACTACGCACTGCGAGGTAGAGCCACTATGAAACCCGTCGTTTAGAGTAGGCGACCGGTTTAAATCGGCCACGTCCAGAAGCATTGCCGAATTTAGAATCCAGCGGTCTGTGTGTCAGCGCCCAGAAGGTGATTAAAGTTTCCTACGAACGACGTCTTGGAATCTGGAGCGGGGTTTTCCTGTCTTGAGTCCTAAGTTGAGCTGCAAATGCATGGATTTCATTTGCATTGAAACTGTGTCCAAACATTTCAACTGCATGGATTTTATTAGCGAGGTGAACAGATGGGTTTTTGAGTTCGACTTCCTGAAAAACGCATCTCTCTCTACTTTTTCCCCCCAAATTCCTTTCTGTTTCAGGGGTGTACAATAGCCATTTCTCGCACCGATGCAGGTTCACTGATTAACACGCGAGTGCTGGCAGAACATTCCAGGAATCCGACAAACCCAAGTGAACGTCGTTAATTCTTGAAAGGAACTTTGATTTGTATTGATTTGTTTTTAGTTCGACTCCCTGAAAAACGCGACTCTCTCAATTCCTTTCTGTTTCAGGGGTGTCCAATAGCCATTTCTCGCACCGATGCATTTTCGCTGCTGAACACGCGTTTCGTGGTTGGCTTCACGCACGTTTCTGGACGCCGTTTAAAATGGAGAGTGCGTTAAACTTAAAAGTAATGAATGATTCTTCTCACGGCCAAGTTTGAGTTTTCGTTCGTTGTTGAATTTCGATGAGACCGACGCCGAGTGCTTAATTCGCGCTCTTTCAGTGATCACACCGACGCGTGTTAATTAATTGCATTGTTTTTGTACCTGGTAAATAAAAAGAATAAAAGTACTGGAGAGGACTGAGAAACGACACTTGAAGAGGAATTGAAAATCCCCAACTGCATCTCCCAGTGGCAACGCCAATAGGGGCAGATTGAGGAATCGTCCATAGAAACGTCTCTACCGCGATTTGGGTCTCTGTTGTGTGCTCCTGCCGTTTCTATGGACGATTCCTCAATCTGCCCCAACTTAATTTTTGGCCCAGGTATAATAACCTCTTTCTCGTTCGTATTTATTATGCTGGTTATTGCATACCCTCCTCTAACAGTGGTTAAAGAATTTCATTTTGTAATTTACATTTTTAAGTTAAACATTTTGTCTGGTTATTTTGAAATTCTACAGATATGTAATACGTTTGGAAGTGCCTGAGGTGAAGTTGGTAATCGGCTTCCTTAGATGTTGGTAATATTTCGTAGGATTGGCGGATAAGTTGAAATAGCTAAGTATTTCGAATGTAGAAAAGATTGTCAGTTTGTAGGTTCTAGTATGAAGAGTTTTATTCAATCTCAAGACAAGATAAAGTGAAGTTGAACAGTAGGTCACTCAAAGTTAACCTTCTGATGATAAGCCTTGGGGTAATGGAACTTATATTTGATATCAAATAAGGTGGGGTTTTCGGTGGGGTGAATGATCAATAGTCAGGAGGTATGTCATTCTCCTTAAGAGAGCGACCCAACTCATGAGGACTGATCTTATTACAGGAAATCATAAAGGAAAGTTCTTTCATCACCACAAGAGACACAGTCACAAGCCATGAGCAATATCTATGCCGGACCTAACCTAACAACTACAACAAACACACACATGTGAAGGCGCTTTCATATTATCAATACGTGGAATATGGACCTCTGTTACAGACATGTGCTCGATCATCTCTCTTCTCCTGGGCTGGGTTATCATTTTTATCGGTGTTTTTGCTCGGTGCCTTGTGAAAGAGTTTTTTTCAAAAGCAGGGATGCTGATTACTGAGCGTCGGAATAGATTGAGCAGCAAAGAAGCAAAAATGCTTGTTTTTTTGAATTGTAACCTGGGGAATGTTAGTTACTTCTGTTATTTTCTTGCATGCACAGTCATTAACATATATATATATATATATACACATATATATATATACATATATATACATATACATACATGGGGGTAATTAAAATATTGGTTAATGGTCCCTTAAAATGTATTTACCTTGTGTTCAGTTTCCAAAATGGCAACTTTCATTTTAGATAGAAAGTATTAAATACAATAAAGTAATTTTAATTTAATTTTCAAATACAACTTACACATTCTGAATTTTCGACATGTTAATTTCTGTAATCTTATTATTCGTAACATCAGCTGTACTGTAATCACACGTAAACAGAGCAGCAGCAGACAGCCAATCATATTCGCAGTTGCATCACTGTGTACCACCACAGTCAATGTTACCAACTGCCGTCACAGAATGCTAAATGCGTGCTCGCATCTCGATCACCGTGATTGAGAGTGAGCAATTAGTCACACCTGTGATCACAGAAGAGCAGTTTAACTCGTCACTAATTCTAATGGCTATAACTTGGACAGGAATGTAAGGACTTTCTACGGGGCAGAGGCACTGAAATCAGTGAGTAGGGAGAGGAAGTGCAAGAGGTATGATGTGAGAAGACACTTCCATACAAAAATCTCGTAATTTTTTTAATATTTATATAAAAATGCCAATTTTGTTTTAGAAAAACTGATGTTGTAAAGTTTATAAAACCGTCACAATGCTACTCCGGTGTTTTCCAGTTCTATTGGTTTCTGCATAATCCATTACATTATGCTCAATGAAAATTCAACACCACATCCATAACACATGCACTATACATATAGTCCACCCAGTTTTACGCTAACTTCACTACGATATAGACTCCACTGGATCAACTACGCATCTTGCAGTAATTAACATACGTATACTGTTTATTCCATATTACCATCAGACACTAGAGATGCTGCATCACCATCTACAAGCTTAATAAATTCTATATCAAATTTCACCGTTTGCCAACTTGAAAGGCATCGAGTAATCAGTTCCTTCACAACGTGAGTATCAATTAATTCCACAGAAGTTGAAATTCTGCCACTCAAATTTCTCAGCCAAGATATCATAATGTTGAGGTTTTCCTGTAAGTCAATAAAATCAAATTCAATACAAAACAGTTCTGACGAAATACAAAGCTCACACAACACTGATCTTTCAATACTGTGTTCTAACAGCCAAGTTCCGTTTGGGAAAATTAATGTAATTCAAATGACCTGAATTTGTATGGCAAAGAAATACAACACCAAGACAAGCAAGCAAGGGGGCCCCCCCCCAAAAAATTCAATCTGCTTCTTAACCTCAATTCATGCTACAGCAGAGGGACATACAATGTGCATCACAACAGCAATCTTTACACCCATACATAATTATTATTTGACTGAAATGGTTATCACCATACTGAATAGTCACTGATCCATAAATTGCACTCTTTTGGTGCATTTTATCAATGAAGCAATAATGTTAAATACGTCATAGTATTACCACTGCTCAGAAAATCGTGATAAAACAAATGTGTACAAATGAGAGAAAGTTAATTCTATTTATCTATATCTTCCATCCTTTCCAAAATAACTTTTGAAATAAACTAAAGTCTTTAATTTTTTAACTTCTCCATATAAAGAATATTAATACTACAAAAATAAAAAGTCTCTCTTTTCACTATACAGCACAAAACATATCCATATTTGATACAGCATTGGTAAACATGCATGTCCCTCAAATGTGCAATAGTTTGTGGTGAATATGCAGGAGTGATGAATTTATTATTGTAGCACAGTTCTGAGATGGGAATTCAAAGTGACATTTACCCAACAGAAGATGAGTTGAACATATTAAACTAGAATTTCAATTCTGCCAAAGAAATCTGTCCAACAGCAGTCGACTAAGCATTCCAAAGAGCATGATTCATGTTTTGTACAGTCAACTCACTGTTTTGAGTGTACAAACTGCAGCTGCTCAGGTCCAGTTTCTGATATGTTGGAACAAACATAACCCCGCCGCAAAAAAAAAAAAAACATTTTCAGTGACATGCCCAACTTTCACACAACAGGCTCTGTAAACTGTCCAACCCACAGAATTTCTACGCCACAACTGAGCACGTCTGAGACAGCCTCAAAATAAATGTCACAGAAAATTTTCATTATTAAGGATACAGTCATCTCTGTAGCTTACCTAAATATGTCGAAGACCAGACAGCTTATATCAATTACTTCAATTTTACAATAGGATAGAGCATAAAATAATTTCCTTTCTGATTATCTGTTTTCCATATTTACCTAAAGATGGAAGAAGAATCCAGTTTCTAAATTAAAATTTTATTTATTATTCAGATAAAAAGAACAGAACTATTATTCTGGCATTGTCTGAAGGATATAATTTACAGTGAAAACGAGAACAATGTCAAAAGATCACTATTGTGCTACTGTCAATGACGCTTACACTCAAACTCGTACATATTTACAGCTGTATTGTGAAAAGGAATACTTTTGTATCAATGGTGTACATAAATATTAATAAACGAAACTATGACAAACTTTCTTGGACAACCCGAATAAAATATTTTTAAATTAACCACCTAAGGGTTAAACAAAAGTTATCTGCAATCATTAAACAGGAAAAGGAAATAAAATACCCATAAAATCTTATTACCAGATTTAAATTATCTTCAGTATAAGCTCTCAAAACGCACAAATCCACCAGCCTTACAACAGTATAGAGTTCATAGGGGCCGAGCTCGTCGATAAGTGGGTAGTGCATCACAAGCTCGGTTATGTTGCTATCTGCAATGTTGCCCAATGGTTCAGTCTTTAATTCTGTTGCCAATAAGTGATTCAATGTTGTAAGGGTCAAAGCTTTTGCTATCTCTATTGAACGAGGACTCACTATGAGCAGTGAGCAGCAAACCACTGCCTGGTTGTGAAAATGCTCTGCCCCATTCCGATGCAACATCTCGCAAATAGTCCACACCTGAACACAAAAGTAACACTGTTAACGGACAAAAATCAACCAAGTACGTGCCATTTTCAATTAAATTTCTGACATGAGCTGATCCCTAAAAACAGAAATTTAAGAAGGCAAATGTTTGTGTTTTCTCCATTAAACTGCCTCACACGGAAGAATTCATTGCAGAAATAACCAATTCACCCTACAGTCTAGAGCAGAACAGTTCCCTCTGCCTATTTTGCTTGTAAGGAGATTCCCATAATGCATTTTTGGTGTTAAACTCCCAAAGTAAGATAAAGGGTGGAAGTAACTGCGATAAGAGAGCAGTCAGGTTAGCTTGGGCTTTTGCTACTGCTGACTATCGCACAAACAGTAAATTACAGACTGGGCAGATTTATGTGAACAGCAGAGGCTTGTAATGGAAATCTGAGATTAAATGCAGTCATCAACTAAACTAGCCGTACCTCCACTGACCCCATCACTGTCGAGCGTCTGTCGAAATTATGCAAAACAGGAAACTGTTCATGCCCCTTGGGATTTTACTCTGTACGATTTATCGTCCGTCTGCTTACCCTGCGTTTATTCCACTGGCTTTCTGGAATGCCATCTAATAGAGCACGAATGCAACGTGAGAAACAGGTCTCCAGAGTGGGTGACTTAAATCCTCCATCAAGGGCCGACAGTACAAGGACTTGCACGACCTTGTTCAGTTTGTCTTGTGCACTTTCTTTACCAAGCGTTGCAGCTACAGAATGGATAAATTCCAAAACCTGTAAATATCAACTTAATTAAAATATATAATATAATTCAGGTCTATACACAAACTTTACTTACAGATGTTAAAGTCCACGAACAGACAGTCAACCTGATCAGACGAGGATACACCGTACATCACGATTCATGAATAATGGAAAACAAAACATAAGATGCATAAAATAAGAAGATCAACAGAACACATTCTATAATAATTTACAAAACAGATGAATAAATGAAAAACTTGCATTGAAATATAAAGTAGTTTTAAAGGAAAAACCTGAAGATGATGCTACGCATCGAAACATGTAGTAAATAAAGGCGCAGTATTGTAACATCGTAGTAACGAGGAATAGCGCAAATTTTAAATTTTAACATCTGTAAGTAAAGTTTGTGTATAGACCTGAATTATATTATATATTTTAATTATAAAACACAAACATGACGCATTTAAACTATAAATATCAACTTATTACTGTACGCCAAGTTTGTTTATTTGTTTGCTAAACAACACTTTCTCCGCCGTTGCATTAGCCTACATGGCTCTGGAGGACTGTAAATGATTAATTAGGAAGGGCATGGAAGAAAGCAGACACAACCTACTGGGTTAGGATTCCTACATGGCAAAACTGAGTGACTATGAACAATGGCAATAACAGTGCCACTGTAAAACACCGGGCAAAATACCAGAAACTTAAATCAATCCCATGCAGCAGCCCGTTGGTATAGGTGAAATGCTAGTGGTGTTGGGAGGTACGAAGGTTTCTGCCCAGCAACTACTTTAATTCCATACTCGCAAAATTAACAGATTCCAAAGCATTTTCTGCACAATGTTTGGAGATAAACTGAAAAGGATAACCAAACAACTGAACAAAGGCCAGGCAAGGCACTACTTGAGGAAAAGTGAAGCCCTCACTCTTCTGAACTTCAAATGTTTTCAAAAACAGGTGGGGCAGGACTGCTTTTTATTTTTTTATGATAAAATCATCAAGCTGTCGAGACTTGAACTTTGCTGACCCGTCTCGGAGTCAGCTGTCCGACAGCCATCCCCAGTTTCTAATTCCAGTTGATGTTTGTAACTAATGTGAGCAGTCTGTCTCTCCCTGCTGATAATCATTTTTGATCAATTCAGAATTTGGTTTTTAGTCCATTCAAACTCAGCTCCGTTTCTGAACTTGCCTTTGGTATGTATTGTCCATGTTTTACTACCACAGAAGACAACAGAAATACAAGATATGAAGATATCAGCGACTTACAACTGCACAAAAGCAGTGCCGCATAACAGACCAATAAATTATGTATCTTGGAGAATGTGTGGGTCGGCTTGCCAATAGTTGACACGGCGGTCGTCAAGTGTTGGTGACATTAATAATATGTTACATGCTGCCCACACTAATAAACTGCAAGGCAAAATTATTCACAGACGACTATGGAAGATACCAATCAGGCAGAAATATATATGATCCAAACTATAACTAACTCCATATATTATAAATTCATGTCACTAAGCACTGGGTGACATCATTGGTCCATCTTCTGGCCCTTAACATCCAGCAAATCACTCATGTTGAATGGCAGTTGGAATGAAAACAAACTATTTAATAAATTAAGTCCGCACATGCCACCACCTTTTTATGTGATGAATGTAAATAACAATTGTCCACTACCACATTCACAAAACATGTCATTTGCAATAAAACATCTACAGATCAAATGGTGAATAACAACAAATGTTTTTCAGAAGATTTCTACTGTTACGTTCTTTAGTTTAAAATACGTGAATTGGAAGGTGCCAAAACAGCGGACATGATGGCAGTAGAATTTTAGTTAAATTACTGACAACTGAAAGATTGATTTTAATTTTCACATAACTTGCAAGCAAAGAAATTACATCAATTACTATGTACCTTTTGAACATTAGTATCTTCAAATCTTGGACTTGATACAACTTTATCGAATAGATTCACTGGAAAATATGAGCCAACGTCTATGTCACATGTATCCAGCAGTTCTTGGTTTATTCCTAAATGAGAAGAATACATTTTTAACATTTTGTAAAGCTACTATTAAACTTTAAATGAAAATAATAGATGCAATGTATTGTAAAAATTCCAGAATTGACAAACCATTGAGCAAAATGGAAGAATGGGTCGTGCACAAACTTCTGTGTGGCATTCACGTTTTAAAAATGGCCGAACCTCTGTCGATGATGACGAGCGTTCTGGACCACCATCTTCGAGCACAACGCCCGAAAATGTTACGAAGATTCGGCAGGCCATTCACGAAGATCGACGTCGTACCATCAACGACTTGTGCGACATTGTTGGGATAGGCTATGAGACCTGTCAGCTGATTCTAAAGGAAGAACTCCACATGCGACGCATCGTGACAACGCGCCAGCGCACACCGCCCTCAAAGTTCGGCAGTTTTTGGCCTCAAACACCATGGCCGTCATCCCGCACCCTCCTTATTCGCCGTGTGACTTCTTCCTCTTCCTCTTCCCAAAGATGAAAATTCAGCTAAAGGGAAGGAGATATGAGACGATAGAAGAGATTCAGGCAGAATCGCAGATGGTGCTTGACAGGCTGACAAAGAAAGATTTCCAGGGATGCTTCCAGGCTTGGCAACGGCGCTGGAATCGTTGTGTTCACTCCCAGGGGAACTACTTCGAGGGTGATGGATGAATTTAATACCTGAGATAAGTGTACGGGTTTTTATACGCGCAGTCTGGAAACTTTGCGATCGCACCTCGTATGTCTGATGAAGACACAAATACATTACTGTTGCCACAGCATCTTATAACCTTACTCGTGATATGAGCAAAAAACAGACCCAGCAGTGGTAGCAAAGAACCATAAAGTTCACCTAATTAATGTTTAATAATTAAGTTCCTGTTACCAACCTGAGAATACAACATGGTATAGTAAATCCTCAGATTGGAGATGAAGTAGAAAGCCTCCAGATATGGAGGGCTGCAAATGTATTGAATAAGCAATCACAGACAGACAGACAGCTGAGAAGATGTGGTTGGGTGGAGGCTTACAACTCTTCACAGTAAAAAATTAGAAATAGTTCATTATGAAATGTTACACTAGTCTTTGAACATGATATAAAAAAGCGTATGTGCCAACTGTTGACACAAACTGCTATCCAAGTACCATTCTTGAAGTAAATAGTATGCCGACTGTTGCTTAGTTGATAGCACATGTAAAACCTGAGGTGGCACATGTCTTAAAAGATTAATTACAAAGAACAATAGAAAAAATAAGTGACAAGCTACACGATTCATGTTTTCAGTTAGTAATATGGTCATTATACGAGGCGCGTCCCAAAAGTAAGTTTCCCACTCGTCCCACAGCTAGCAAACCTTATATTGAGCGAAGCGACTGTGCGTACGTGATAGAGCAATGACGTAGCATGGCGCATGCACTAACGGCACTTCCCGCGTTCTCACAGTAGCATCGTTGCAGCTGTTGAAGATGGAGGTTCTTATTCCAGCTCCCGCCGACTGTGAAGTGCGGTTAGTGATAACGCTAGGCCGCACACGGCTCGACAGACAGCAAGTCTCCTGCAGGAGTTCAGCTGGGAGGTGTTTAATCATCCACCCTACAGCCCGGACCTCGCTCCCAGTGATTTCCATCTTTTCCTACACCTCAAGAAATTCCTGTCCGGTCAGCGTCAGCGTTTTGAGAATGACAGAGAGGCGGAGATGGCTGTCACACAGTGGTTCCAATCCCAGGCGGCAGACTTCTACGACACAGGTATTAAAAGTTGGTCCCACGGTATGACAAATGTCTCAATTCCGGTGGCGAATATGTTGAAAAATAGCTGGACACTTGCTGTATCTGTCGCAATAAATGAAGATAAAATGGGATGAGTATGTATGAAGAGGACAAAGATGCATACAACATTTTCGAATGAGAATATAAAAAAAATAGAGAGAAATAGACTGTATATGTAAACTGGACTGAAACATGGTATAAAAACTCAACGTTTCATACGCAGGAATTTTTCAAATTAGTAACTAAAACCACTGAAGATCATCCACCTCGGAGTTAGTTATTCATGACTGGGTAAGTGCTGAATGAAATTGTATTTTTCTCTCACAGACAAATGATTTCCCAGAAACAATGTTTTTTCATACACAGTTTAAACTCACCCCAATTTATGAACACAATAAGGATAATGTCCAAGCTAGGGCACCAGCCCCGTTTAATGTAGCGCAAAGTGTTGGAGCAAGCAAAAACAGTTCTTTCGTCTCTATGTACGGACATTAATAAAAATAAGTACCGACATAATGGATGAAGAACTGCATCTGAAAGAAATGGAAACTGAAACTGAAACAAAATGGAAAGTAATTAATTTTCACGGATGGAAAAGTAACGAGACTGAGGAAAACTGATTACGTAGCAGAATACAGAGTTTTTAAATGGTTAGGAAAAGAGCTAATGATAAAAATTTATATACCGCCATTCAAAATACTTTTCTTGTGCTTCAATGTAATTAGCTAATCTCATTTTTAAATCAACAACTATAACAATACTAAGCATAATAATTACTGTGCTAAAATGGAAAATTCCAAGGAACATAAATGGATCAATACAACAGAAAAGAAGAGCCTATCTGCTTACAGTTATGTTCAATGAATCTGTGACAATGGGAAGACGACTGCAAAGGATTATCAGTAATCGGGAAGGCTCTGGTAGAAAGCAGTCATGGCCTATTTCAAGGCATTATGTCAACACTGGATGGAGGATGAGGAAAACCACAAAAACCCAGGATATCCACCCTGCAGGCCAAAAAATCTAACCTGGGACCTCTAGAATTGAAAGTAGAAGTTTTGATGTTTGGTGAATTTATTATAAATACAGGTTGTCCCAAAATAGCCCGCGAAACTTTGGGTAGCTATTCACTGGCGTGTTTTGAGTAAAGAAATGTTATGCCAACAAGGTCAAAATCTCAACTATTACAGTTATCTGAAAAATAATTTCCCATTGCCCTTCTGTACTTGTGCCCAATACCACCCCTTCAGAGCATACGCTACACTTATCTCTAAATTAATACATAATTGCCAAAATTCTGAACCAGCAATAAAAAAGTATTAAAATCTAAAAGTAATTTCCAACTGCTAGCTGGTCTGTTCCAGAAGTATGTGCCAACGCAGTTGACTTGCCCATGCCATCAGTTCGCACCCTCCACAAGCAAATGCAAGGGCAGCAGATGAAGAGTATTGCTGTTGCCGTCAAGCACAGCGGCAGTCAGGATCATTCACCACAAGTACCTTGGAGCATGGCATATGACATTCATGACAAGAAGAATACTGCGATGGGTCCAATGGAGTCTGAGAATGAGTGTTAAATGAACACATCTTAAATGCAAATACAGCAAACTTTATATAAGGTAGATCTGCACATGTGCGAGCTATTCAACTTGGGGATCATGCGGCTTCAGTATATTTCTGCCGTTAGACTGCGGAACAGCATTGGTTTGTGATGAGGAAAAATTTACATGAGACGGGATAACCAACTACCACAACACCATCGTGTAGTCCACAGACAATTTGCACTATTCCATTCCAACACAACTTTTTGATGAATGTGTGATAGCGTCCTATCAGTGACCACTTGAGCGGCATTCAACAGCCGACTACTACCTGCCTTTCCGACAGAATGTGCCACAACTTCCTCTCTCGGCCAGATTAAATATGTGGTTGCCTCATTTTGGTCCACAAGCCACACAGTACTAGAACCAACGATTGGAAATCGGACTGGTTCTAGGAGACCCTGCGTGCCAGACTTGTTTCTACTTGTGGGGAAACGTGAAGGATTTGGTGTATCAGAACAAATCAGACACAAGATGAACTGTTACAGCGCATCACAGAGAAGTCATGAAAGCAACATATGCTCTTCTAAAATGAACCTGCTTGTGTTTAGACAATGCAAGAGGTAATTTCAAACAGCAGCTGCTTAAGTACATGCATTAAGTCACAATGTACATTACTATTCCTATGCTGCTCATCCATTTCTTCAACTAAAATAATTTAACTTCATCTGTGCATTTCCACCTATCATAATTACGAGGGTGAGTCAAATGAAAACCGTAAATTTTTTTTTAAATTTAATTTATTGAGTGAAAGCGATACACAACTACATCATTTTTCTACATAGTCTCCATTTCGTTCAATACAGGCCCTCCAGCGTTTACGAAGTGTATGGATTCCTCTAGAAAAAAATTCTTGTGGTTGTCTGCACAACCACTCATGCACCGCCTGCTGTACCTCTTCATCAGAACGGAACTTCTTTCCTCCCATCGCCTCTTTGAGTGGCCCAAACATGTGGTAATCACTT